GACAGAGGTGACTCAGTTACATGGAAAGTCCTCCAGCTATCTTTGTTGCCCCTCTGTCCCTTGTCATCCCTCTGTTGCCCAACATGGGGAGATGACCATGAGCATGTAGCCAATGAGTGACCCTGGTTGCTGCCTGTGGCTTGCCCTTCTACTGGCCTGTCAGCTCATGCATTTGTTTTGACATCTGCTCATTAGCCCAATCCCATGCTTCTCCATTTTGGTAGGGCCTCCTGGAAGGTTAAGATAGGTCTGTTAAGGTATGCTCACAAGCCTGTCTGTCAACCAATGGGATTCTGTATTTTGTGTAGACCCTCCTGGAGGGTCAAGGGCAAGGTCTGTCCACCAATCAGACTCCGTGTTTTTGGCCTGATCCGCCTGTGCTGTCCAGGTATCAAGCACTATAAAACTAAGGCCCTGGAGGAAGGGGGCATCTCAGATCATGAGGAAGATCTGGGGTTCACTTCATTGGAGGGGACCATGGAACCTTTAATAAAGTGCCATTGGCTCAGAGCTCTGCCTCAGTGGTTTTTTTTCTCCTTGCAGATTGTACAGTTTTGGAAAATCTACACACAAAGACCCCGATAGTCCCTTCCTTCCTTCCTCTTCCTCTTTCTTTTTTCTTTCTTTCTTTCTTCCCTCTCCTTCTCACTCCCAACCTCTGTTGAAAAAAACAAAAAACAAAGACAATTTCTTACATTGACTGTATCTGAAAACGTACTACTTCTTCAGCATCTTGAATCCATGACCTCTTTGTCAAATGGTAGGGTGAGAGGTAAGAAAACTATTATATTTCCACATGAGGAAATTGAGAGAACCGGTAGCTCTAGGTCAGAGGTTCTAGAACTGACTAAAAATGGATGAAACTGGTTGTTTGGTTAAAGAGGCAGGAAGTAGGACAAAGATTAAGCTTTACTTAGAGTGCAGCATGTGTAATGGGCTCATTAATACTGACTTCTCCCCCCAGAGGGGAGCAATAGCACAAAACTAGGCACATTTCATATGTTAGCGGGAGAAGGAACATGTTAAGAAGTAATATGAAGTGGAAGTATCAGGTAGATTGTAACCTGGAAGAGCAGGGACCAATCATGGCTCTGAAGGGAGGGACAAGAAGGAACTAACTGCATAAAAGGCTTGCTGTGGTGTCTCTCGGTTTGTGTGTCTTTTTGGGGTACCACACACACCCACTTCTTACAAGAATTATAAATAAACACCTCCTTCACTCACTTCAGTTTAAGTTTTGTTTCTTAAGGGAGGATGGAACTCTATATGGTATGTTTCTAGGGGACCAGTGGGTTGTGACTGCATGCTTGGGCTAAACCCCTAACCCTCCCAAGGAGTGACTGAACCCCATTTCTCACAGTAGATAATTGGCTTCTTCACAATTTCTCAAAAATTGTGGTTGGCTAATGCATTGATCAGAGTTCTGAAATCTTTAAAAGTTGCTTTTTTAGAAAATGTTATTACATAAATAGTTACTTCATTTTACATACATACTTCATTCTATATCATTTTACACAGGTCTTTGTTATCTCAGAAAACATTTGTAACCCTTTTCCTAAAGCCCAGTGGTATGGGACTCTCCTCATTGGTGGAGATGAATGCCCTGCCCAACCTTAGGGGCAGGGCTGAGTTGGTGAGAGGTGAGAGAACCCCAACTTTTGCCAGTTCTTTATGGACTCTCCAAGTGAGTCTTACTTTGAGATTCTTCAAGGCTTGTCTCCTTTAGGACTGGTTAAGCTTTAAGTCTTCTTGTTGAGTCATTTCTGTTGCTCCTGGCTTCCAGCTTCAATAGAGATGTAAGAAGGAAACTCCACTTCAGGTTGCTGAAGACCATGGGAAGGCAAAAGAGGAGCTGGCAGTCTCTGTCATGTTCCTGTTTCCAGCTTGCTACTCTTGAGACTTTGGGGAGTTTTCCCTTAGGTGAGATCTACAATACTCTCTGGGTTAAGCTGAGTTATCTCACTTCCAAAGGGAGAGCTCCTTCACTCTATATTGTCTGGTATATATTCTCCTACATGTACCTTCTCTGATTTTTGTTTTGCTATCGATTTGGATAAATGGGCTTCTAAAGTATTCCCTGTGTATGATCTTTAAGGAACTGATATTTCGTGGGAAAGGGGTCAAGTCTGGCTATAGAGCTTGGAGTCCTTTTTCCCCCACCCCAAAATGACAAAGCAATCACAAGTTAACTAGAACCTAATCATGTCCCCCTAGATGCACAGTGTTTAAAGGAGCAGATAGATATACTTCTAGCCCAGGACCCCTCCTCTCTGAGGAGAGCAGAGTGGCCTCTGGCCCCAACTTCCTGTTTCCCCTCCTGGCAGAAATAAAAGTCTTTCTTGGAGAAGGGTTGGGGGGAAAAGAAACTAGAGATGTCTATTCTGCACTCCCCTCCCCCTTCAAGCCATACGAGAACAGCTGTCACCACACATGGAGCCTCACTATACGTAAGGCTCAGTCTCTATCTCTACACATCCTTTTCACAACTTCTCACAACACAATTCCATTTCATTCATATACTATAATTTGTCTAACCATTCCCCAATTTATGGTCATCTCCTTAGTTTCCAGTCCTTTGCTTCTACAAAAAGAGCTGCTGTAAGTGTTTTTGTATATATGCATCTTTTTCCTCTTTCATTTTTTTGGCGGATGGTAGTGGTAATTGAGTCAAAGAGTATACCACTGTTTAGTGATTTTGGGGTTTATGGCTCCAGATCACTTTATAGACTGGCTAGACCAATTCATGGATCTACAAACAGTGTATAGTATGCTTTATTCCATTCATGTTTTCTTTGGTCCAGCGACACTGGCCTTCTTGCTGTTCCTCACACTCTGCCTCCCAAGTCTGAGCATTTTCACTGACTGTCCTCCAAGTCTAGAGCTCTCTCCCTGCTCATCTCCACTTTTCTGGATTACCTGTAATTTCAATCTGTAATTTTCAACTATGTTCTGTAAGAAGTGCTTTTAAGTCCCTCTTCCTCTTAGTGCCTTATGTCTGATATCTTCAATTTATCCTGACTATATCTTATTTGTACATAGTTGTTTGGATGAATATGAATTTCTGGAGGGCAAGGACTTATTTTTTTTTTTAAATCTCTAGCATTTATCACAGTTATTAACACATAATAGACACTTAAAAAATGCTTGCTGACTTGACAGTTTTCCTGAAGCCCATCTAACAATTGTGATTTTTTTGGTCATCTTTGCCAGTCTGTGGGTGTGATGTAGAACCCCAGAGTTGCTTTAATCTTCTCTCTAATTATTAGTGATTTAGAGCATTTTTTTTCATATGGTTGTGATAGCTTGAATTTCTTACTTTGAAAACTACCTATTCATATTACTTGACTAGTTATTGAGGAATGGCTCTCATTTTTTATAAATTTGAATTAGTTCCTTATGTATCTTGCATATAAGATTCTATTATTTTTCTGGATATATTTCCATCCTAATTTTTACTGCATATCAGACCTTTATGAGAGAAATTTACTTGTAAAGGCTCTAGCCCAATTATCTATTTCCCTTCTAATTACAACTACATTAATTTTGTTTCTGCAAAAGCTTTTAAATTTTGTGCAAATTTGCCCACTTTATTTTCACTCATTTCTTCACTTCATTTCAGTTAATAATTCTCCCCCTGTTCATAGATGTAAAGGGTATCTCTTTCCCTTCTTTTCTAATTTATGATTGCTTGAGTATTTAGATCATGTAGCCATGTAAAGCTTATTGTTGTATATGGTGTAAGTTGCTGGCCTAAATCTAATTTCTGCCAGACTGCTTTCCAGTTTTCCCAGAAGTTTTTGTCAAATAGAGGAGTCCTTATCCCACTAGTTGGTATCCATGGGCTTATCAAACAGTATGCTACTATTTTTGCTTGCTTCTTGTTTACTTAATCTACTCCATTGGCCAACTTTTCTGTTTGTTTGTTTGTTTTTTTAACCAATACAAAAATATTTTGATTATACTTTCCTAATGTAGCTTTTTTTTTTTTGTTTTTTTAGCCTGAGATTTGGTACTGAGGCCTCCTTCATTTTTACTTTTACCCCATTATTTTCCTTCACCTTTTGTTTCTCCAGATGAATTTAAAAAAAATTCTATATAGCAATACCTTGCTATTTTGAATGTTTTAGAACTAAATCTGTAAATTAATTTAGATACTATCATTTTTATTGTTAATACAGTCCAACCATGACAATTAATCTTTCTTCATTTAATTAAGTCCTTTATTTTTACAAAGACCATTTTGTGTAGTATTCATATGTATCCTGAGTATGTTTTGGTAGGTGAACTTCTAGCCATTTTATACATTTTGTAGTTTTTTTTTTTTGTTTTTTTTTTGGGCTAGGCAATGGGAGTAAGTGACTTGCCCAGGGTCACACAGCTATTAAGTGTCAAGTGTCTAAGGCCAGATTTGAACTCAGGTCCTCCTGACTCCAGGGCTGGTGCTCTATTCACTGTACCACCTGGCTGCCCCCTGTAGTTATTTTTAATAAAATTTCTTTTTCTATCTTTTCCTACAGAGGCTTGTTAGTAATACACTGAAAGTTTGATGATTTTTATGGATCTATTTTATATTTATTATCTTAGTGAAGTTATTGTTTCAATAACTTTTAGTTGACTCTCAAGGAGCCTCCAAATATCAGCAAATAACAATAATTTTATTTCTTGTTTCGCTGTATTTCCTCAATTTCTTTGGCAATAGACATCTTCATCCACATGGTTTTTCTGGTATAGTTTATCAGGTTAAAATTTTTGAGTGGTTGTAGCTTTCTTCTAGGACATTCTGTAACATCATAGAGCCTCATATGAATAGCACAATATAATCCACAAAATCTGCAGGACCTCCCCATCCATAGGAAAACACTTTTCAGCTTGTATGCTATACTGGACCTCCTCCATGACAGTAGTGGATACCTTTGGTGAAATATATCTCCCTGTTTTATGGCTCTCCTGATGTTTATTATCTGTAGGCCATCTAATAAAGTTCTCTCTATTGTCATATCTTTTTAAAAAATTTTTATTATAAACTTAACATTAATAAATGAACATTTCAATATACAAAGAACATAAAAGATTATGTATGCAGCTTTAAACTTTCATAGTGTTAGTTTTAAAGTGTATATTAAATTTAACATGACAATAAAACTTCCCAGCTTATCTATGTCCTCTTTTGAACTTCTCACTGCTTTCTTCTTTGTATTTTAAGATATTTTACTGATGCTTTTTTTTATTTTTCTGCATTACTATTACCATCCCTTATCTCCTCTTCCAACTCCAATACCCCCTTCCTATAGGAGTCCTCCATTGTAACAAATAAGTATAGTTAAGCAAAACAAATCATTAGCTGGGTCTGAAAAATGGATGTCCCATTCTGTATCTCTATTCATCACTTTTCTGCCAAGACTGCATCATCAGTGTTATGGAGTAATAATTGGTAATTGCATTGATCAGCGTTCTTATGTCTTTTAAAATTATTTTCCTTTACACTACTATTATCACTGTGTTAACTGTCCTGGTGTCCTGCTCATTTCACTTTATATCAGTTTAGAAAAATCTTTCCAAGTTTCTCTGAGTCTATCATACTTATCATTTCTTACAGTGTGATATTCTGTTATATCCTATGCCTTAATTTATTCAATCACCAAATGATGACCACCCACTTTGTTTTCCAGTTATTATAATAAAAAGTACTGATATAACTGTTTTTGTATTGTCACATCTTTTGAAGTATTTTGAATGATTTTGGTGTGTGGATTGAAGATATTTTTGGAAGAGAACCTTTAAGGCAATTTTTTTGCACCTTGAACAAATGTACTTCCATAAAAACAATCAAAGTTAGTCAAAAGTCGAAGATGTTGCCTTGGGAGATACTCAGTTCTTGTACTGGACTTGATGTTTTTATCGGGGATGTTATAATGGAGATTTTTAAATGGGACTTGGACTAAATAATGTCTGTTTCCTTCAAAAATAAGGTCCTATGATTTCCTTAATTAGATTACAATGTTATAGAAGGCAGAAACTTCTTGCACTTCTCCATATCTCCCATATCACCTAGCATAATAAGAGTTCATTAATAAATACTTGTGGATTAAAGCTAACTATGGATCAGGGGAAAAATCCTGTCTTGGGAGACAGGTGAACTGGCTCAAACCTATCTCTGACACTAACTGGTCACAGAATGGTAGCTTGTTGCAATAGATATAGGTGGTAATGGTATGGGTCAGAGGTTCTGCAGTCTCATGAAACTTCATTGTGGGACACGAAGACCAACTTTGAAACAGAATAAAGTGTTAGCAGCCCTTGAAACCAAGTGGTTAGTTTGCCTTGTGTACAAAAATTACGAATTATTTCAGTCTTCTATGCCAATGATATGGAAGTCCAAGAAGCATTTTGGTTGCAGTACTTGGAAGATGAACAGAAGAGGGATTTTGGGTGGAAGTAAAATTGCAGGGGATTGGTCATAGTTTCTGAGACTTACAAGATCAATTGGCTTCTTAAGACAGCTCCAGCCATATTTTCTGAAAGACCGTCATTGCATCATTGGTCACTATTTCAAGAAAATAGTTATGTATGTCATGAGCTTGATTATATAATTTTTGGTAACTGTGTTGGTGAGGAAGCTTTGCTACCTCAACCTTCCTGCCTGTGAAAATAGCTAATTTTTGATTGTCTTTTATGAGTGCCTGCAAATTCCAGGACTTGGTTGTGCCCTGTAATTCCTTTATGTTCCAACCAAACATCTGAGCCAGATTAGTGAGGGAAAGATCATCCACCCCAAAGAACTTTCGATAATGACTCAGACAGGCCCTGAGCTGGGCTAAAACCCCAGAACTAGCAGTGACTTGTAGGGCTACCATCAAAGATTCCACTCCAATTATCCCCTGCAAGGCAGTCTTCTTCCTCTCAATGGCATCTACACAGATATGACACAGGTAATCCATCAAAGTCTGAGCCTTGACCCTCCTCTGATCTTCAAATGCCCTCAAGGCACTAGAAAAAGTTGCAAAGTCAGATATGTCATTCATGACAGAGATCAGGAATACTTGAGGATTACTTATACCTATCCTTTCCAGGTTCCATACAAATAGCTTTGCATTTTCCAAGTTGAACCATAAATCTGGGAATGCTGAGATGAGATGTGCATTTATTGAGATGAAATACACCTTCTTCCCCATATTGTGGAGCTCTATTGCTAGGCTGGTATGAATGGATTCAATGCAGATAGAGACAATAATGAGGACAACATCAAAATGGCCACAATCTATCTCCTTCAGGTAAGTTGTTACTGGTTCCCTGTATGTCTCAATATCTGGTAGCGACTCTGCAACAAAGGGGACCGTGAAAACATCTGGGAAAGAAAGAGCTTCCATATTTGCCTTCAAAGTAAATACATGCAGAGAATGAATCAGTGAATCACTCAGGGAAGCATTTCCAACCACAGCTACTCTCAAGGGGGTAGTCTTCATTTTCATTCTTAATCTGGAAGATACTTCTTTTAATTTTCCCAGGACCAGCATCTCTAGTATTTCAGACATGTCTGTTTCAGAAATGACTCCTTGACCATCTTTCAACTTAGATTGGGTTATTATTTCAGTGGCAAGTTGGTATAACACCTGCTCCACTGTGTGGCATATCTAGGAGAAAGACACAATGGATGGAGATTGAGTTAGGCACATGAGGGAAAAAAGAGGGACAGGAGAGGTGGATTTACCGAGAAGAAAAAGTCAAACCTTCCACAATTTCTAAAAAACTCATCATTTTTACATTTAACCTTTAATTCTGTGTTAGAAGAGAAGTGGGATACAGATAATCCAAAAGCTACTTGTTTGGCCTGGTAGTGGTCAGATATACACATGCTCAGATGCTGCCTCCCTTTAAACCAAGGGTTCTTAATATTTCTAGGGTTATCCCTATTTTAGACAGAGAAGAATGAGAAATGACTTTTGAAATTCTACCTTGGAAAAAATGGATAACTAAGAGTTGACCATATTTTTTTTTTGGGGGGGGGGGAGTGCCAAATAGCTTCTCAATAATGTTGCACTTTCCATTCAGATGCAGAGAACCAAGAGGTAAGGGTAAGAGAATGGGGTAGTAGTAACTGGTGGAATCCTCATCAATCATTTGTACTTGAGGGCTAGGTTCCTAATCAATGATTCTCCCTTTGCAAAGATGGATACATTAGCTCATTAGAACACTGATAAATACATAACAAAATTGCAAAAATGTATGCCAAACCTCTTTCTTAGTTGTCTTGTTCTGAAGGTGAAGTTGTAGCCATGGAGCTAGGAGAGAGAGAAAGAAGACTGAACTTGCAGGTTTCTATCATTTGCCAATCTCATTGATAGGGAAAAACATGACTTTTTCTGGATATATAAAGGCTCTCTGAGAAAAGAGGAAGCAGTCTGATCTGTTGCAAGCCATTTTCCTCTTGGGGTCTCAGCAGCTGTAGAAAACGGCCCATGAATTCAAGCTTACCTACCACCCCACCCCACTGAACTTGGAAACAAATCTTTTAGGCTTCTGGGCTAGGTTTCCTCCTTTGTCAAATGCAGACATTAAACTGGATGAATGCTAATGTCCCTAGGATGCTATGAGCCCTTCTCCTTACCTTTGAAACTTCTCATGGATTCCTCCAAGGCATCTATCTTTCCAGTGAATGCACACACTCTCTCTTCTAGGTCTTGGGAGGTGGTGAAAGGGGTCAGGACCTGTTCTTTCTCCCACCTAGGTAGAAACAGAAAACATCAATAGAAATAGAGAACATCAGAAGGGACTTCAGGAAAAACAGGAGTGAAAGGGTCTGGCAACATCCAGGTCTCCTCCCATTCAACTCAAAAACAGAAATACACAAAATGCATTAAAAGAACAATAAGCAAGAGAAAGAAAAATTCCTCTAGAATAATAACCACATAATTTTTTAAAAAGTAAAGACTGTACTATTGGTCCACATTCCACCTGATCCCTACCACCACCTCAGATCAAACCATTTCCAGTATCAAAAATGAAAAAAGGACTAAATTAAAAAGAATAAAAGGAAACTCTTGTTGTTGTTCAGTCGTATCTGACTGTTTGTGACCCCATCTGGGGTTTTCTTGGCAAAGATACTGGAGTGGTTTGCCATTTCCTTCTCCTGTTCATTTTGCAGATGAGGAACTGAGGTAAACAGGGTTAAGTGACTTGCCCAGGGGCACACAGCTAGGAAGTGTTTGAGGCCAGATCTGAACTCAGGAAGATGAGTCTTTCTTCAGGCCAAGCACTCTATCCAATGCACCACCTAGCTGCCCAATCATATGCTAATAAACCTGACAAATTAAACAAAATAGATGAATATTTACAAAAATAGAAAATGTCTATATTAGAAAAAAACAAGAAACCGAATTTAAATAACCCAATCTCAGAAAAAGAAATTGAACAAATCACAAATGGGCTTCCAAAGAGGGGAAAACAACAACAGAAAACCTGGAACCAGATAGACTTACAAGTGAAGTCTATCAAACATTCAAAGAATAATTAATTCCAATATTAAATCAGTTGTTTTTTTAAAAAAAGAAAATATGGAATCCTACCAAATGTGATACAAATATTGTTTTGATACCTAACTCAGGGAGAGACAAAACAGAGGAAGAAAACTCTAAGCAAATATCTCTTCTGCATATCAACAAAAAATTTGAATAAGACATTAACAAAGAGGCTACAGCAACACATCCAAAAAGATTATATACTATGACTCTTTAATTTATACCAGGAATGGATGGTTGGTTTGTATTAGAAAAAGTATAAGCAATATTGAGCATATTAATAACAAAACAATTAAAATTATATCAATATATGCAGAAAAGGCTTTTGACAAAAATATAACATCTATTTTTGTTTAAAAAACTCAAAATAGGAATACATGGGCCTTTTAAAAATATAGTAAATAGTATCTATTTAAAAACTAAAGTCCAGGGACAATGAAGTGGCACAGTGGACAGAGCACCAGCCCTGGAGTCAGAAGGACCTGAATTCAAATCTGGCCTCAGACACATAACACTTACTAGCTGTGTGACCCTGGGCGAGTCACTTAATCTCATTGCCTAGACAAAAAAAAAAAAAAAAAAAAAAAAAAAAAAAAAAAAAGATAAAAACTAAAGCCGACATCATATGTAATAGGGATAAGTTAGAGATATATCCATAAGATCAGGAATAAAGAAGGATGTCCATTGTCTCTAGTGTCATCAAATATCATGCTAGATATGTTAACAATAGCAATAAGATAATAAAAGAAAATTAAAGGAATATGCAAAGGTAAAGAAGAAACAAAACAGATGATTTGATGTGTTTATAGAACCCTGGGAGTCAACTAAAAATAAATTTAAACAATAACTAGCAAAATGGCAGGATATAAAGTAAACCCACACAAATCATCAGTTTTTCTATATATTAACAACAAAATCCTGTAGGAAAAGATGAAAGAGAAATTCTGTCCAAAATAACTACAGAATGTATAAGATATTTGGTAGTCTACTTATCAATGCATACATAGGAACTACATTAATACAATCACAAAATATTCTTATTATAGAAATAAAGGTAGATATGAATAAATGGAGATATTAATGGTTGACCAGGCCATAATAATACTGTTATTTAATTATTTATCTACTATCTAAGTTATTTAATCATTTATTTACTATCTAAGTTATTTAATCAGTTAATACCAAGCAAAGTACCAAAGGATTACTTTGTAGAAACAGGAGAAAAAATATCAAAATTCATCTGGCAGAACAAAAAGTTGAGACTCTCATGGGAAATAATGAAAAAATAAAGTAGGAAGGAAGGGTATCTAACATCAGGGTCTGATCTCAAATTATACGACACAGCAGTAATCCTGCAAGGTTATCTGGCATTGGTTAAAAAAAATAGAGATGTTAATCTGTGAAACAGATTAGGTACAAATATACAGAAGCAAATGAACATAGTAGCATCGTGTTTGACAAATTCAAAAGACCCCAATTACTGGGGTAAGGACTCATAAAATGACAAAAACGGTTAAAGTTGGAAAGTAGTCTGACAGAAGTTAAGTTTTGAGCAATTTCTCACAACATATACCAATGTAAGTTCCAAGTAGAGGACTTGGATTGTAAAAGGTCACATCATAAAAAAATTAGAGCCAGAAATGAATTGTGTTTTATACCTATGAATAGGGTGAGAATTGTTGACTAAATAAGGAATAAAGCAGGTCAGAGAAATAAAATGGACTAGTTTGACGGCATTGAAAATTTTAAAATAAAATTAATACAGTTAAAACTGGAAGAGAAATAGGTAACTGGGGAAAAATCTTTGCAGCAAGTTTTTTTGAGAAAGGTCTCATAGCCCAAGAGACATAAGGAGCTGATTTAGGTGTATAAGAAGAAGAATCATTCTCCATTAGGTAAATGGCCAGTGGATACGAACCAGGCAATTCTCAAAGGAAGAAATCTAAGCTATCAACAACCACATGAAAAAATGTTCTGAATCACTAGAGAGTGTAAGTAAAAGCAGCTCTTAAGTTCTATCTTACCCTAATTGAAATGGAAAATGAAAACTAATAGAGGGCTTTTAAAAAAAATTAGAGCAATTCTTTTTGTAGTGGAAAAGAATTGGAAATTAAGGGGTGAATTATGGTATATAATTGTTACAGAATGTTATTGTGCTATAAGAAGTGATGTGAGGGTGGTTTCAGAGAAACCTAGGAAGATTTGTTTGAACTTATGCAGAGTAAAATGAGTAGAACCAGGAGAACAATTTATACAATAACAACAGCAATGTAAAGGAAAATAACTTGGAAATACTTGAGAACTCTAATAGATGGAATGATCAACAAAAAATTTCAGAGAACCAGTCATGATGCCTGCTATCCATCCCCTGACAATGAGATGATGGACTTAAGGTGCAGAATAAGGTGCACTTTTTTGGACACTGCCAATGTGGGAATTTGTTTTTATTGACTGTACATAATTGTTAAAGAAATTTTGTTTTTGTTTTTTCTTTTTTAATGGAGTTAGGAGGTAGCTAGTAATAGGCCTTCTATAAACCATAAAACAAAAAGAATGATACTAGCATTGTTGAAACAATCTTTCAAAATGCACAGAAGAAAACAGAAGGCATGCTGTGTGACCTTGGGCAAATCACTTAACCCCAATTGCCTCACCAAAAAGCAAAAAACAAAACAAAACAAAGCAAAATCAGAAGGAAGGCCAGAAGCAAGTACAGACAATCAGGACAACTCTGAAAATTACATGTTGAAAGCATTTTTTTAAAAAACTTACTATAAAGTTAAAAGGAAAAAACAAGATGTATGTAACAGAAATGTACAGTTTCATGTATGATCTTTTTCTGTTCTATTTTGTCTATGGAAATGCTCACTTTATTTGGTGTTTAAGTTTGAAATTTTTTTTAATTTATTTTTTATTTTCAGGCAATTGGGGTTAAGTGACTTGCCCAGGGTCACACAGCTAGTAAGTGTCAAATGTTTGTTTTGAGGCCACATTTGAACTCAGGTTCTCCTGACTTCACGGCTGGTGCTCTATCCACTGTGCCACCTAGCTGCCCCTAAGTTTGAAATTTTTAAAATGCACAGAAGTGAACAGAAGGAATATTAGTAAGAAACAGAAAAGCAGATCAACTTTGAAAATAACATGTTGAATTTACTACATACTTGAAAAGCAAGCTATAGTACAGATTGGCAGGTTTATGTCCAATATTTTTCTATTTATAAGGAAATTCTAATCTTTATTTGATGTTCAAATCCAGAATTTGAAAGAAAATTAAAATGTTAAAAAAAGAGAAATAAAAATTTACAAAAATATAAAATACTCAGATTAATGGGAGAGCAAATGATGGATTACTGGATAAAAGAGAGAAAGAGATATATTTGAAAATTACGTGAAAACAAAACAATATCAATAAAAATAAGATTTTATGTATAATTATTCTATACAAAGTTTCCAAACTAGAGAAAGAAGGCACCTTTATCAACATCAGTGAAAACATATAATCATGATACCTAAAAGAGGAAGAGAGAAAGCAGAGAAAGTAATGTTTATTCTTAATGAATGCTGATGCCAAAAACACTAAAATATTTTCAGATACTACAGCAAAAAATCTCTATAACTAGGTAGGGGGGCCGCCAGGTGTTCTGATCTCACACACTTAATAGCTGTGTGACTTTGGGCAAGTCACTTAACCTCTGTTAGCCTCCATTTCCTCATCTGTAAAATGGGGATAATAATAGAACCTACTTATCTCCAAGGGTTGTTGTGAGGATCAAATAAAACAATAATTGTAAAGTGTTTAAGTACAGTGCCTGGTTAGTAAGAATAATACAGTAATACAAAGAATGCTTGACAATAGTAAAGCAAAAATAATAAAAAGCACACAATTATATCAACAAATGCAGAGAAAGCCTTCAACAAAATGTGGAACTAATGCTAAAAATACTAAAAAGTACAAAAACAAATGTACCTATCAGTAGTATCTATCTAAATTCACTGTTTGCAGTAGAAAAATACCAGAAGCTTTCTCCAATGAGATTAGGGGTAAAAGCATGTTACTTGTCTCTACTATTATTTGACACAGTGCTACAAGTCTAGCTATAGAAATAAGACAGGACACAGAAGCTGAAAAGACAAAATTATCTCTACTTATAGAAGTACTGTGGTTAATATAGGAGAGCCTAGAAAGTTAATGAAAAAGAGCTAACCGAAACAATTGTTTCAATAAAATATCAGAATGGAAAATAAACCAATAGATATCACCAACCCTTCTATAAAACAACAAAACTGAGGAAGAAGAGAAAAAAAACAATTCCATTTAAAATATCTACAAAATACATATAATATTTGGGTGTTCATCTACTAAGGCAAACATAGACCTTTTAGAAATACATCTGCAGCACACTCCACAGAAATTAAAGAAGATAATAAACTGTTGGAAAGTGTTGTTGGAAAGGCATTTGTTGTTCATAATCAATTGGGCTGTATAATAAAAATGACTACACCATATAAGTTGATTTACAATTTTATGCTACATTAATCAATCTATCAAGGGATTACTTTGTAGAACTATACCAAATAATAAAATTTATTTGGAAAAATAAAAGATCTAGAATCTCAAGTGTAGTAATGAATAAATGTAGGAATAAAGAAAAAAGAATTGTATAAGAAAATGTGAACTTCTGTTGCACAGTTTTAAAAATACATAAATTATATGACATTTAACCAAGTAGTAACAAAATTGCTGTTTGTGTCTCCTGCATTTTTGTTTTCTTTTGTGCATTTTAAAAATGTTTGATGCTTTTATTTTTTCATGTTTTTCATTATCCACTAATCCACCACTAAAACTAAACTGACTCACCAAAACAAAAGGCACTCTTCCCCTAACCCCCTAAAAAACAAAACAGAGACTCAGAGGAATGGTATGGAAAGAAGGAATCCATAGAAACCATCTCATTCCTCCTTGTCTCTATTCCTCCAGACTAGAAAACTGGGGAAAGTATAAGATTGAATGGATGCACTGAGTTTCTACGATGAACTAAAAGAAAAATGGAACAAGAGTATGAGATCTTATCTATTGATCAGTCAAAAATGAAACTTGGGCACATGCATGTGCATGTGTCTTTTCTTCTTATCTGATAATCTCTTGGTATTTATTCCCACAGCTCCAACTACCATCTCTATTTAGATGATTCTAAAATCTTGATCTCTACTTCTGATGGGCACTCAAACTCCAGACGGGGATGTCACAGCTACCCCTCCACCTCAGCATGTTACTTGGCCCAGAAGAACTACATCCTTAGATACTGAAAACCCTGGCAAATGTGAATGCTGAAACAGTAATATCTGAAAAATCTTAGAGAGCAGGAGAAATACTGTAGGATTGGAGAGTGCAAATGCCCCAATTTTCAAAATAGGGAAGAGAAAGTAACTTGCAAGTTACAGGCAAATTAATTTGATTTCAATTCCTGATCAAATTATAGAATGGATTCAAGTAATGCTTGGTGAACATCCAGAAGAGGAAAAGATGTTAACAAGCAACCAGTATGGCTTCACCAAGCACAAATCATAAGACATTAATTTAATTTAATTTTTATTTTTCAACGGGCTACCAAACTGGTAGATAGAGGGAATCTATAGATATAGTTTAAAGATACTTTTATCAAAGTATTTGATGAAGTTTCTTATGCTATGTTTGTGAGAAAGATGGAAAAGATGTGAACTAGATGGTAGTGGAATTAGATGGATCTGGGGGGGAAATGAAGGTTCAACAATGTTACATAGCAGCAACAAAAGCTAATGCAATCTTGGATTTTAGTGGAGACCAAAGAGGAATAGCTCCCAGGAAGAAGGAAGTGTTGGTCCCACTGTACTTTGTCCTGGTTAGTCTACATGTCTGGAATACCATATTCAGTTCTGGGCAACACATTTTACAAAAAATACTGATGAATTGGACAGCATCTAGAAGAGGGCAACTGGTATGGTGAAGGGCCTCAAGTTCATGCCGTATGCAGAACAGCTGAAGGAATTGGTGGAAAAGAGAACCATGGGGAAGAGAAGATCAGAGGAGCATGTGAATTGGAATGGGTTACCTTGGCACATAGTGGATCTCCTGTCATTGGGCAGCTTCAAGCAAAGGCTGGATTACTATGTGGCACTTTGCACAGGTCTCTGACATTCTCATATAATGTTGTGTATAAAAATTATTTTTTCATCTTAACCTCTTATTAAATTGTAAACCCATTGGGACTAGGATTTCCTACAGCAATTACCCCCGAATTCTACACCTGTTAGACACTGAATAAATGTTTGGGAAAATTTTTTTAAAATAGAAATATAAATCCTTATATTGAAGGTATTCCATCAGGCTGACAGGAGGAAAAAAAAAACTGACTTGCTTACGAGACATCAACAAATGAATGAGAGACAGAGAACATATACAGAGGGAAAAACCCAGCTAAGAACACTTACCTTTCTTCCAATTGTTTTTTGATCTATGGAAGAGAGGAGGAAAAAAAAAGGTCAGTTTTTCTATAGTCATTCCCCACTGGATATGGTATAAATCCCTAGAGAGTGCCAAAACTAATTTTTGTTTTTACCCCAGCTATTCCAGATGCTCACTCCACACCTACAAATCCCAGCTCCTCTCAATATCATTAATTCCCTCTATGTTCCAATACCTCATGCTTCTGATAGCTGGAAATTCATCCAGTTGTATATCATCATTGGTTCAATTTCAATTCATGTCTTCTTTCATGTCAGTTTCTATTCTGTAACACATCTATTATACTCACCATCTGGAGCATAGATGGTATGTTCTCTTGTTTCTCACCTTAAGGATTTCGCTTGGGGTCTGAGAAGCTCTCTCCTCCATTTTACTTATTAATTTTTCAAGATGAGATATTTTTTGAGAGACTTGGTTGACATGTTGCTCCTTCTTACAGGTGATGTCCTTCTCTAGCTCCTCCATTTGGGCCAAGAGGAGTTGTTCCTGTAGATCAAGGAACTCCCGGAACTGCTGATACTCAGACACAATTCTCAGTTTATTGTCTTGGATTTGATTCTGTAGAAATGAAGTGGAAAATGTTCTTTAGTCTAGAGCAGGAGTTCTTAATCTGGGGTCCATGGATGCCCAAAAGGTCAATAGACAGATACGAGTTTGGATGGAAAAAAAAGCCCCTACATCTTTATTTTCACCAATTCCTTAATGAATTTTCTTCAGTTATGAATGTAAGCAATGAATCAAAGTATTATTATACTTTACCACAGTGCCAAAGGGGTCCATGGCATAAAAAAGTTAAAAACTCCTTCTCTAGAGTCTCACTACCATTGACTCAAAGGGAAAAAAAAAAGATAGCATGATGATTATTAGAATTTCACTCCTCCCATTTTGCCTGGACTCCCAGGTTCAGGACTTGAGAATCTATGGCATAGAGTCACATAGATCTATGGCATAAAACTAATATGGTGTCTCCCGATTCATATAACCTCAGGTCTTCTCCTTACTTGTCCATCATGTGAAACTGATGGAAAATAATGGCTAGATTGGCTTTGAGTACAGTATGGATGGGAGTGGTGTAATACGTAGGAGGAATGACATCAGTGGGAAAGTGAGAAGCTATAAGAACATTCTCATATCTATCTCTCCTAGGCTTTTCATTATTCTCTAGTCCTGTCATCTCACCCAAGCCCTTCATGGCCTTGGACCTATCCCTGATAGACTAGATTTTTTTCTTATCAATAATAATTTTACATGTGCATAGCATTTTTCAAATAACTTTGACATCTATTACCTCATTTAAATTTACAACAATCCTATAAGATAGGCAGGGGTGTCAAATAGGATCTCACCCCCATTTAACAAAGATGAAAATCAAGGAGAAGACATTAATTTGCATAAAGACATAAAAGTAAAATCTGCATAAAGACACACTTTCTTCTCTCCTTTATTCTCTTAGGAACATGGGAACACTTGTTTCATACCCTGGAGGGTCACATTCTTCTTTCCAGGCCTCTAAGCAAATAATCCAGAGACACTGGGCCCCTGAAATAGAGCACTACTTTTTTTGGGGGGCAGGATGGAGGAAGGAATCATCTCCTACCAGCAGTGCCTGGAACGTATTGTTTCCCTTCAAATGCATAATTTTTTCTTTGGATTCCTTCAGACTTTCCAGCTGTCTCTGAATTTCATCCTGTAGAAAGAAGAGTTACTTTCCTACTGACAAATACAATTTCAACATCTCTTCATGAGAGGGTCATAGTATATAGAACTAGGAAGTACTTTTCATAGCATATAAATCATGCATAGGGGGCTAGTGACAGTGATGCCCAAAAAAGAAAAATAAAGAAAATAGCATCAAGGAAGCATTTAAAGAAATGCAGGAGACATGAGCAAGCAAGATGACTTTGGAACTAACCTGCTGAATTTATCATATACAACTTTAAAAAAATAAGCTGAACATAAGAGAGATTCATCATTTCATATGTCATCATTTTCTATTCTTTGTATATAGACATGTTCATGCTTATTGGTGTTTATCAAGTTCAGAATAAAGAACAAACATTTTAAAAAATAAATTGAGGGGACTGGGCTAATTATTGATGAAGGAGCTTTAAAGTAATGACATTTTATGAGTCTGAGTGAAAACTGATCAGTATGCTTCCAGCACTCACCATGGAGAAAGGGACTGAAACTCAATATCAGAATCCAGGAGATCACAGGAAGAGGAGAAATGAAAAAGTTAGCAGTAGGATTAGGACAGCCTTAAGCTTGATATAAGATTCAGAGTTAGTGATACAAAGAGGGGCCAGATTACAGCTACTATTTAGATTACAGTATGCTCTTCCTTATGTTCTTTCACCCCTCCTGGACTGTTCCTTACCTTTCTCCCCTCTATTTCCTTTGGAGCCCTGCTCCACTCACTTACTCCATGAAGCCTTTCCTGACAAAGTCCTTCCTAACTTAGCCCTTTTCCTGTGGCTACTCTTTCTAAGGGAAATTACTTGATCATCATCAAGAAAGTGGTTTTCCTTTAAAACACCACAGAACTCAGATCCCATCACTCCCATTGAGAAAGTAACCACCTTAGCCAGGAATTCCATTTTTCTAGATACAAAAAGAAAATGTTGGAGACTATTCCTAAAAATTGCCCAGGGATAAAGAAAACTTATATCTGCTCTAGGGCTTAATTACTGTATTTTTCTTTATAAGTGCTTTTCTTTATAATCGCTTCAACTCTAATTTTAGCTCATTTCTACTTTTTGTCAATGCAGATGGCTGTTCATTGAATAAATCTTCTCCAGTAGTTTGTTCTCTACAAATCTTAAGCAAAGTCTACCTGTACCCCTCCCGAACTCTTACTCCTCCTCGTTTCAACAACACACTTCCAAAACACTATTCTTTCTATTACCGTTACACACTTCTGCCCTTTCTGGTGACCAGCTGAACAGTAATAGTAATAGGATCACAGATTTAGAACTAGAAGGAATTCTACAGGGTCCAATGCTCTCATTGACAGAAACAGGAAGGCCACATAGGTTAAATGAGTCATGCAAGGTCACATTAGAAGTGAAAGGAAGCATACTATTTACTCTTTTTCGTCTTCTATTTTGTTTTGTTTCCTCTTTCTTGTAGTTCCTCCTATTGGTTCTAATTCTTCCTTAAAACATGAGTAATGTGAAAATATGTTTAATAGGAATGTATAAGTAGCGCCTATTTTCAGATTGCACGCCATCTTGGGGAGGAAGGTGGGGAGGGAAGGGGAGAAAAATTTAAAACAAATGCATATGGAAATGATTGTTGAAAACCAAAAATTAAAAAAAAAAAGTAAGTGAAGGAGCCAAGATATTAACCCAGGTACTCTAACTTCAAATTCAGAGTTCTTTTCACAGTACCACACTGCCCAGGATATGTATCTGTGTGGGGAGGGTGGTAGCATTTTGAGATAGCAGAGGATTTTGAGAGTGACAATCCCGGTGGGTGCACGATAACCAAACCACAGTTCTGCTGGTTAGCACAATGCCTGGCACACAGTAAATGCTTAACAAATACCTGCTGACTAATTGCTGATTGCAGGTACCATGACTACTACATTCACCAGTTTCTTCCTAGATTAATATTTCTAGGAGGAGAAAAGACCAAGGCAAATTTCTTACTTTGTAGGGCTGGGCAGCATCCTCTACCGGTAGGACAACATGACTACTGTGCTCTCGGAGCTCCCTGCACACAAAGCACAGGAACTGCTCATCTGTTTCACAGTAGAAAAAGGTCTTTTCCCCATGCCGCTTGCAAAGCTGATAATCTGCTGGTTGTTTAGAATCTTCTGGTTGCTTATCAGAGAGTCCTAGGTTGAGGAGGTTGGGGACTAATTGTGCCAGCACCCAATTGGGACTGATGTTTTCCTTTTGAAAAAGTTTCTTGCAAATCGGACAGGACACTGAGCCCCGGACATGGGTTTTATAATAGTCACATAGCTCAGTGATACAGACTCGGCAGAAACTGTGGCCACAGGGAATGCTGACTGGGTCCTTCAAGTGCTCCACACAAATACTGCAGGTCAGTTCTTCCAGGAGGGTCTCTGGTAGGGGTCTGGCAGCCATGACCACTTTATTTCACCTGGATTCTGCTTCCTAGACAGAGTAATGAGGTAAATGAGGTAAAGAGAGAAATTCTGAAAATGAATAGGGATTGAAATTATGGTTGGGGAAAGTCTGGGTGAAGATGGGTTAACATGAGCATTTTGCTACTTTCCTCAAAATGAGACTGAGCATAGAGTCACATTTCTAGGTATTCAGACTAGGGTCATGCAGTAGATTCAGAGCTTGAAGGGAAACTTTCAGGCCATCTATTCCAACTGTTCCAGGGTTACCCAGGGAGTAGGAAGTAGCAGAGCTGGGATTTGAATTCAGGTTGTCTGACTCTTTCTATTACACCAGACTTTTGGTCCATTTCCTTCTCAAAAGGAGTTTAGGAGAGTGGGTTTTGAGAAGATGTTTGGATAGGACTTAGAATGGTGGACAGGTCTAAACAGGCTGAAGATTTAGAAGGTGTGAGGGCAGGATTCTATTCAAAATGGAGGAAGAAGAGTGGTGTTGGATGGGAGGAATGGTGAAAACATTAATGTAGGTAGGTCATATATCCTGCACAGAAAAGAAATTAAGGAGGGTTGATATGACAGAATGATTAGTTAATATAAAAACATCATTTTTAGTGGTTCACAGGGGAAAATCCAACCGTATTTTGAATTCTGGAATGAGGTCTGAGTTCTCACCTTAGACTTAACAACTCTTTCAGGTAGTCTTAAATTCTTCCAAAATCTTGCCAGATGTTCCTGATTCCTAAGAAGGGCAGCAGACCACACAAGGCTGAAGGCTGAGGAGAACTTTCAGGCTCCCATTAGAGTAAGGGTTCATAACTTTTTTTGTGTCATGGACCCATTTGGCAGTCTGGTGAAGCCCAAAGACTCCTCAGAATAATGTTGAAGGAAATGAAATGCTAAATTTCAGTTAGAGGTTAGTGAAAATAAAAATAATTTTTTTTTCTTCTATCAAAATTCACAGATTCCCTGAAATCTATTGACAGATGTGTGTGTGTGTGTGTGTGTGTGTGTGTGTTGTAGATTCCAGGTTAAGAATCTCTATACAAGAGAATCCAGAGAATGTATTTAATCACTTTGAGTATTGCTAGTTATACAATTTAAAAAATTACTAGTTATACAACTTTAAAAATCAATATAGATGTAACTTCCATCTCACCAAAGTTCAGGACTTTGTAAATGGGTCTGAAGTTCCAGACTCCTGTTCTAGGACACAGAGATAATAAGCTCCAGTGCAGTACATTCCAGGATCCTCCCCACCCTGTGTGACATGCTGACCAAAAAACAAAATAAAACAACCCCACACACAAAAAATCAGGCTGATTTAAGGCCTCTGAGCCGGCATTTCCTTGTGTCCTTTCCTAAGGCCAAAGAAGCCCACGTGACACCTATTACATAAGTCGGGTAACCATTTTTTTCCTCAAAGTAACAGCGTTTTCATTGGCTGTCCCCCAAGTCTGAAACTCTCTCCCTCCCCTCTCTGCCTGTTGGCTTCCCTGGTTTCTTTCAAGTCTCAAATAAAGTCACACATTCTTTCTCAGTCTTTTAAAATCTCAATACCTTCCAACTGAGGACTGCCCTCAATTTATCCGGTCTTTATTTTGTTTGTACATAGTTGTTTGTGCCTTGTCTTCCCCATTGGATTGTGGGCTCCATGAGTGTGAGGACTGAGCCTTTCTTTGTGTTCCCAGAGCTCAGCACAGAGCTGGCACTTAATAAATGCTGACTGACACCAAGCAGCCCTGCCCAAGACCTGGACTATGTTAATGGGCTTTGGAATTAAATTTTTACTAGTTGGAGGTCCTCCGATCCAACCCTCATTTTACAGGTGGGGAAACTGAGTATATGAATAACAAATAAAAAAGCATTTATTAAACACTGGCTTAGCACAAATATAAAAAAGAAGGGCAATCCCTGCCCTCAAAGAGCTTACATCCTAGTGGGAAAGGTAACACATACATATAGTATGTGTTATGAGGCAGTGGCCTTAGAAGGGAGTTTTGGTCTGAGGAGTCCCGGAGAAGGAAAAGGTTTTGCTGGTAACTAAATAGCACGTCTAGAGTCTAAGCCCAGGTTCCCTGACTCCAAAACCGGGGTTCTTTCCGTAAAGCCTCCACCCCATCAACACCAACCTCCTCTGGGCCCAGCTTGAGAACATCTCACCTTGTCCGACCCAGGAGATGGAGAGGGCAGGGACAGACGGAGGGAAATGCAACCCCGCGGAGTCCGATGGTGGCTGGAGAAGCGGCAGGAGGTTGCAGGCTCGGGAAGAAAAAGCTGCCCAACCCAAGGGGGACTTTGGAAATCTTCTTTACGACTTTCACTTTTCCTTTTCCGCTGCGGCCTCAGGCTACTCGGTCTGACTAGAGATTGATGACGCCCCTTCAATAATCGGCCAATCCGAAGAGCCTATTGGTGTCCCTTCCAATCAAGTAATCCAGACCCTAGTCGCCAGTTCTTTTAGGCTTCCAAGATTATTAATTTGATGTTGAGGACGGGGAGCAGAATGAGATTAAATGAACACATCTGGAAAGCATCTGTAAAGGTAGGTTGGAGCTGGATGATGGAGAGCCTTAAACACTAGGATGAGTTTGTATTTTCTTCTAGATGCAAAAGGGAGCCGCTGAAGAGCTTTGAGTAGGGGAGTGACCAGTTCAGAACTGTGTCAGTCAGTCAGTAGTGTCAGTAAACATTTATCAGGCACCTACCATGTGCCGGGCACAGTACTAAACGCTGGAGTAAGAAAGAAAGGTCAAAGTCTCAGGTCTCAAGGAGTTCACAGTCTAGTGGAGGAGACAACATGCAAACAATTATGTCCAAATAAACTATAAACAGGATAAATTGGAAATAATCAACTTTGGGAAGGCATTAGCATTAAGAGGGATCAGAAGGTAAGATTTTAAATGGAACTGGAAGGAAGTCACGAGGCAGAGAGGAGGAGGGAGAGCATTCCAGGAATGGGAGGATAGCCAAGAAAAATGTTCAGTGTTGGGAGGAATATGATTTTGGCAACTGTATGGAGAACGAATTGGATAAGGAGAGACTGGAAGCAGGGAGACCAATTAAATGACTGTTTTGATAACCCAGGCAAGAGGTGATAAGGGCCTGAGTTAGTCTATTGGCTTTGGGAGTTGGAGAGAAGGAGATGGGTATCAGAGCTGTAACTGGAAGTAGAATTGACAAGACTTGGTAACTAATTAGATATGAGGGAGTTTAGGGTACCCTCAGGGGACTGATGGGAAGAGTCAAGAATGACTCTAAATTTATGACCCTCAGTGACTAGAAGATGCTGGTGATTTTAACAGAAACAAGGAAGTTTGGAAGAAAGGATAGTTTTGGGATTGGGGCATATGATGAATTCTCTTTTGGACATGTTGAATATGATAGGCTTTTGAACACAGAAAGAGGAAGTCACACAACTGTGCTGCCTAGGTCCACTACAAAGCATCCCTCTCTGCTGCATGCCTGTCCTTTGATTCTCCCATGATCGACTCTTTATCTCACTTCTCTCAGTATCTGTTAGAAACCTTTCCTTCTCTCTTAAAGCCACCTTCAGCACTGCTTGTCCTTTCCTCTCAGCAGAGGACCTAAAGCAGAGGTTTTTACTTTTTTTGTGTCATGGATCCCTTTGACATTTGGTTAAAATGGATCCCTTCTCAGAATAATATTTTTAAATGCATGAAGGAAAACATATAGGATTGCAAAGGTGATTAATTATGTTGGAATAGTTATAAAAATTTTTTTTAAAAGTTAGTTCAGAGACTCCAGATTAAGAACCTCTGAGTCCAAGATAAATACTCGAATGAAAAATTTGAGGCTATCTCTCATGAGGCCAAATCACCTCAACATCTCCCCCCCAACTTTCTCCACCTCCTCTACTTGTGCCCTTGGATTGTTCCTTCTGTTATCCCCATGATTTCCCTAATTTTCAACATCTCTTTATTCACTGCGTCGTTCCCAAGTTGCAAGTGTGCTTACATCTTCTCATTCTTTGAAAAAAAACCCAAAAAACCAAAAACAAACCTTTACTTGGTCCTTTCAGGTTGTTGCCCCATATCTTTTCCTTTATTTCATAGAAAAAGCTGTTTACACTCCTTGCCCCCATTTTCTCATTTCATGCTCACTTCTCAGCCCCTTGCAAGTTGGCTTCCAACCTTATCACCCAGTGCTCTCTATAGTGTAATATCTTTTGGTGTTCTCTCAGTCCTTATCCTTTTTGACCTCTCTGAAAACATGTCACCACCCTGTCTTCCAAGACATATTCTCTTCCCCAGATTTTCATGACACTATTATTATTATTATTATTATTTAGGTAGACAATGGGGTTAAGTGACTTGCCCAGGGTCATACAGCTAGTATTATGTCTGAGGCCGGATTTGAACTCAGGTCCTCCTGAATCCAGGGCTGGTGCTCTACCTACTGCGCCACCTAGCTGCCCCTATGACACTATTATGGCCTAGCTTCAGGTCCTACTTGTCTACCAGTTCTCAATCTTCTTTTCTTTCTTATTGTCACTTCCCTATCACCTGTGTGTGGTTGTACTGCAGGGACTCCACCTTGGACCCTCTTCTCTTTATATATTCTCTCTCTTAGTGACCTCATTTGCTACTATGGGTTTAACTATCACCTCTACAAACAAATCCGAGATCTATAGATTTAGCATGCAGAGAAAGAAGAGGGTCCAGTATAGAACTTAAGGGGGATACCTAGAATTAAGGGGTAGTATATGGAGGATTAGCCATAAAGGACCGTGAGGGAACAATTAGATAGGAGAACCAGAAAGCGATGTATTATTAGAGAGGAGAGAAGAAGAGAGTTTTTATGAAGTTTTGTTTGTTTGTTTGTTTGTTTTGACAATGTCAAAAGTTGCGGAGAGGTCAAGTAGAAAGAGGAACCAGAAAAATCCTTCATATTTAACATTAATAATAATAGCTAATATTTATATAGTGCTTTACGATTTGAAAAGTACCTTACATTTATGATTTCATTTGATTCTCATAATCCTGATCCTGTGAGGTAGGTGCTATAATTAAGTTCATTTTCCAAGTGAGGAAGCTAAGTCTGAGAAAGGTTAGGTGACTTACCTAGGACCATACAGACAGTAAGCTTCTGAGGAAAGATTTGAACTCAGGTCTGCCTGACTTCAAGTCCAATGCCCTATCTAATATGTCGAAGAGAACAGTTTCAGTTCAGTGGTGGGGTCAGAAACCAGATCCCAAGGGACTTCACATTGATGGCCTAAATTTTCTTAGTAAAGAAGGAAGTAAGGTACTGTGCTGGAGGAGGGTGGGGAGGAAGAAAGATGCTTTAAGGGGTCTAAGGATAGAGGAGATTTGGAACAGATATAACAGAGGGAATGTGATAAAGTTTGCAATTTAAAATTTGGCACGACACATGCATGAATAACTATAATAGAAGCATATGATAAAGGCAAGATAGAAGTGTCCACATATTCATAAGAAATTTAAGCTGACTTTTTGTAGTGGTCAAGAATTGGAAATTGAGGGGATGCCCAGCAATTGGGGAATGGCTGAACAAGTTGTGGTATATGAATGTAATGGAATACTGTTGCTATAAGCAATGATGAGTAGTCAGATTTCAGAAAAGCCCGGAAAGACTCATATGAACTGATGCTGAGTGAAGTAAGCAGAACCAGGAGAACAGTGTACACAGTAACAACCACATTGTGCAATGATTAACTTGGCTCTTCTCAGTAATGCAAAAATCTAAGGCAAATCTAAAACACTCATGATGGAAAATGCTGTCCACATCCATAGACAGAACATTGGAGTCTGAATTCAGATGGAAGAATACTGTTTGCTCTCTTTTTTTTGTTGTTTTGTTTTGTTTCTTCTTTCTTGTGGTTCCTCTCATTGCTTTTAATTCTTCTTTGTAACATGACTAATGTGAAAATGTTTAATATGAATGTATATGTAGAGCCTATATAGATAGCACACCATCTTGGGGAGGAGGGAGGGGAGGAGAGAAAATTTAAAACTCAAAAGCTTATGGAAGTGAATGTTAAAAACTAAAAAGAAATAAATTTAAAAAAGAAATTTCAGTTGAGATGGGAAAGGATTCATGGAGGAAGTGCTACTTGAATTGGGCCTTGAAGAAACAGGATTTAAACAGAGATTTTCAGAGACTTCCCAAAGAGCACCAATCCAGGCAAGCCCCAGGTCCCTGGATTGTGGCCCTTTCCCTTTTGGGATTTTCCAGGGAGCCCTGTCTTTACCCCATAGCCTTCTCCAGTGTCTCACCTGAATTACTAGCTCTTGCCTCCTGTCCAGACCCTATCTTCTCTTGCCCTTCCCCTGCCAGGCCATGCTTTTGTCTGCTTTTGCTTGCCCTCTTGGGCTTTTCAAGATTCAACATCTTTGGGGCAGCTAGGTGGCGCAGTGGATAGAGCACCAGCCCTGGATTCAGGAGGACCTGAGTTCAAACACGGCCTCAGACACATAACACTTACTAGCTGTGTAACTCTGGGCAAGTCACTTAACCCCATTGCCTAGCCAAAAAAAAAAAAAAAAGATTCAACATCTTCACCTGCTACAAAGTTAGACCTCCAGGGAGATCTTTGAACAGTTGAATCATGTGCCTCCCTTTGCAGACCTTCTCTTCAGTCACTTACTCTACCTGAACTCTTTCCTTCATGGTTAGCATATTCTCATCCCATTATACCGTCCCCATACCAATGATTCTGAACTTCTAGTTGTCATTATATAACCCTCTTCCCTATCCCTTACTGCTCACTCCATTACTCCCATCCTTCTCATCCTACCCTGCAAATGTCCTATGTCAGACCTACCTTCCATCCACAGTGCTCTTTGGAATGCCTGCTCCATAGTAAATAAATTTGCTTCCAATATAAAACTTTTCCTTTCCAACTCTCTCCATCTCCTGGCTCTCACTGAGACCTGGCTACCTTTTGATGATATTACATCACTGGACACCAGTAATTGTTTTACCGTTGAGGGACTGAAAGGAAGGGGAACTTATACCCTGGTGGTGGGGGTGGTACAGTTAGAATACTTCTTGCTCCCCATTGCCTCTTCCAGACTGTCCCTCTATAACTATCTTTCAGTAACTTCTTTTCTTTTAAGGTTTATTTAATCCAGATTTGCGACTTACCAAAAATTAAAGTAGTCACTATGTACCAACCCCCTGTCCATTCTCTTTTCTTCCTCAGTGAGTTCGGTGCCAGGCTCACAGGCGTCCTCTCTGCACCTGCCCTTCCCTCTAACCCTTCCCTTCATACTAGGAGATTTCAACATTCACATTGGTACTCCCTCAAACACTCTTAACTTTCTTGTTCCTTAATTACTGATTTACTATGACCTACTCC